GCATCCATGCATCTGGTAAACCATCTTAAATGCTTTTGTTCTATTCCAACCTTGACAAAAGAGCAAAACTCTTTTGTGGTCTTTGAGCTATGTTTTTTTCAATGGTTCTGTACTAACGACGCTTCTTCTGACAGATTGTAACATAAATATTGCTATGTTTTAGCTTGTGAATTATGGACCAAAATTGCTCTTCCCGACTCTGGTGCATCATGGCTTTAATAACCGTGGTAATGGTTGCTATCTAACTCTTGCATCCATGCATCTGGTAAACCATCTTAAATGCTTTTGTTCTATTCCAACCTTGACAAAAGAGCAAAACTCTTTTGTGGTCTTTGAGCTATGTTTTTTTCAGTGACAATTTTCAAAGAGGTGGGAAGAAATTGGTCATGATATAATTTGACTAAAATGAATTTTTCTTGACGGCAAAAACACTTGTACCTAAGTGAGTGTTCATCCTTTCTCTGGCCATTGAACTCATATCAGGCTCTTTATCTTTTTTCTGTTTCCTGGCTGGTATCATCATTGTGCAAGAAAAACAACAAATTTGAAGGGATGTCATGATGATGTATTATATTCTATATTTAGTCGACACTATTATTGCTGTAGGAATCTTAATTCTACTAACGTGAAATTAAGTAAAGATAAGCATCTGCACTATGATGATATAAATGAGTTGGTATGATTTGGATTGGATGATGAGGACTTTTGCGACAAGATCGGGTTTGAGGCTTACTGCAGTCACCATATGGTGAATTTTCATGAGCAAGATATAATCATCAAATACACACACAAACAATCATCTCCTTACACCTATGAAGGGAAGACCAACTTAATCTGCCGTCTTCATGGACATGGATGAACACAACACGGAGGAGTCTCTCCGGTTGGATTATGTTTGTTTGCCATCACCCAGCTCAGGATGCCATAATTATCATTCAAGACATACACTGTTTGAATCAACATTGCATGCCGAAAGGTCCAAATCCGAGAGACACTTCGGATACGATACTAGTGCAGCGACACGAGCACTTTCAAAAGGGAAGCCACAAACTCCATCTGTGTTTCCTCATCGATCGTCAAGAACATGGGAACATGTACAAAGAGTGACTTGATTCCGTTTTGTTCCGCGAACAGGAGAGAGTGGTAGTATACAAAGTTGCACACGAATCGACCAGCGTCATCCGAGGGTGTTATGTTGTATCCCATCTTTGACAAGGCCTTCACAATTTCTTTGACGGGAAGGGCAGTCTGCAACAGTACAGAACGAAAATACATTAAAATACAGAATGAGATAACAGAAGAAGGATAATGAAATGAAAAATTCTCAAAAGATAATTGTGCTATCACTCATGCCCGCAAAATTCTACAAATTTGGCCATTAAGAAAAAAATAAAATAAGACAAAGTTTATGGAATTATGTCTAATGCAAGATAGCAAATTGTTGTAAGAATAATTTAAGTCAACACTTAGCCTGAAGAGCAGATATATGCAACATCAAGTCATGAAACAACTCAGATCAGCTGAAATTTTCATGTGACATCTAAGAATTGTGTGATCCAGATGCAATAATCCGCTTGAGGATGCATTCCTCATATTTATGATTATTATCAAATAAAGGAAATGTGAATTTTAATGAAGTGTCTTTCAATAACATAATTGTTTACCAGACATCTTAGGTACAACAAAGTGCATTCAACAACATGATTGTAAAGGTAACACCTTAAGTTGTGATCTACTTCTGTCAAGTGTCAAGAAAATTAACCTTCATAACTAATCAGAATCTCAAACCAAAACAGTAATTCGAATACATATAACATCATCAACATTCTAAAATTCATGGTTCGATGATCTACATATTTGTTGACTCATGTCCAGGGCACTGAATGGTACAATCCTTACTGAGGTCACCAACCTGCTCAAATAAATTGGATTCAGGTTGGTAAAGGATGGTAGATATGGTAACCTCCACCATGTATGGCCATCACTCTAGCTGCCAACTTGAGACCCAAAAATTGTCTCAAAGAATCCGAGTTCCCCTCTCCTCCCAAATGAAAATGGAAAAAAACAGGTAATTTCTTTTAAAAGGATCTCATATCTGATGGTGCATGCCCAAGAGAAATTTTCAATTTTCTTACCCAAAAAATTCAACCCCTTTTCTCCGCATGATAAAGAAAAGTAAAAGAAAGGAACTCATATTTGATGGAGGAAAGGCTTAACTGGGTGTAGATTGCCTTTGGAGCCCAATATACCAATTATAAACACTTATGGCTATTTAGTAATTTCATTTGGCATGTTGAGAAAGTTAAAAAGGATTCCAGGATATATTATACAGGGTGAAGCCTCAGGATAACTATGAACTTTCTATATTCGAGGATTGTAGTAATAAGAATGTATCTATGGCATCTCTGATATACCATAATTATGGTATAAGGATGGGTCAAACCTTCAGTTTGACAAACTTGTAGATGCTGCCATGATTTATTAACGTGGAACTGAATCACATAGCAATCTAGATGTATTACCTCATTTCGATTAGTCTCACATCAGATGTGAACTAAGCTTTGATAAGTACATGTGATACAATCCACCCACTACTTCTGAATACTCTTCTTTTGAGCATAGCGAGTACTCCTGATGTGTATATCATGTTGGTGCATCCTGATGAATCTCTAGTCCAACAAAAGACATGCGCCATGTCACCTACGGAGGATGATTAGTTCCACATCTGGTGTGGGCTAATTTTTGAATAGTATGAGTTGCAACTCAACCAACTTGATTAGTCACAGAATCTACGATCTTCACCTGAGCTATGTGGAACCTCTCACCTTGCAACTGCCCCTTAAGGAGTCTTCATCAGATAGGTATGCCCATCCCCTTGTGGCCGAGTCATTTCTCTCCCTCTGTTCTCTCTCTTTCTCCCTATCAGGGCTCCTTGTGCTATTTGACCTTGCTGTCCAGCCTGATAAATGCCACCAGCCCCTTCCCTTCCTCTCTCTCCAGTTACAGCCCCCTTTCTTCCTTTCTCTCCCCCCCATCCTTCCACAATTCCTCATGCAGGCCTTTGGCCCCTCCTCTTCCTTGCTCCTTGCTAGACCAAATCGAAGATCTAAATTGGAGCTCCAAATCTCAACTGGACCAGATATAAATTAACATTTCACCTTGGCCGATTCAGTTGGGAGTGGAATTGGACATGGGTTGGTTCAATCTTAATCTGGAATCAATTGATTTATAATTATAGCCTTAAATGTCAAAACCTAATTACTAGAATAGACCAATTACCTTTTACAATGAACATCAACTAGCAATGTGGGACTAGCCGGGTATCACCAGTGCAATTTTACCTCAAACAAAGAGAACATTGATATCTATGAACTATTTTAAAGAGCTAAGAAGAAAATCAACAAATGTAGAAGAAGCTGTTTGAAACAAGAGTGAACAGATCCACTTGTTTGTGTCCTCCATTAGTAAACACACACATTTAAATTACACAAAATTGTGTGCAAATACAAATGGGGGAAAACAGCTTGATTTGATGTAGGTACATACATGGCAGAAGCAACAGAACTAACTCTAGTTGTAAACAAGAATGGTTCTTTGGAAACTTATAGTGAAAGATACTTTCATTGATTGCACATCCCTCATAATATTCATTTGTCGTTCAATAATTGTAAGTATTACTTAACACCCACCCTTGTATCTTATCATGATAAGTTGATAACTAGTATTAAAACTTATATGCTCTTGATTAAAGTAACTCCTAAAGATCCAAATGATGTGAAGATGTTTCTAACAGAGTGCCCGCAACCTGAAACAAAATACTAAAACAAAAACTTGTCAATTCAGAAAGTCATACAAAGAACCATTATGGTCAGCATACCTCTCGGACCCGTGCAATGCTTCCATCAGAATATACAACTGGGACTCTCTGCAAGAAGAATCCTACTGTAAAAGTATTATGTAAAAATAAATGATAACTTGCACAATGAAGAAGAGCATAAAACCTGAGGCTTCCATCCCATCTCATCTGGACATCGAAAAGTAGCCTCATTGACTGCTTGATTCTCTACAGCAAACCTCGTAGCACCACTATTTACTCCAAGATGCAGCTGATGGACCATAAAAAAGAGAACAACTGTGTGAAAAAGACAAATTTGAAATAGAAACCAGGTTAAAATAGAGAGTCAAAATGACATGTCAAAATATCCTCTGAAGTCCAAATACATAATTAGAAGAGAGACAGAGAGAGAGAGAGAGAGAGAGAGAGAGAGAGAGAGAGAGAGAGAATGCCGATCAAGATGCTAAAGACAGTATTGGATGCTAAATGATTGAAAGACAAAGCAATCAAGTCACGTAGTCATCAAACAATGAATAGCTAATATCATTTTCATCAAGTTCAAATAGATCTTATAATTTAATAGAAATATCACAGTGTTCAAATCTGGATCCATTTAATTTGCTTCATCATAGTCATTATATGGATGGTAAGTTAGTTAATGAAAGTTGAAAAGGCGTTCCCAGTTCACAAAGCTCCCAACATTGCGAGGTGACTCTCAATGTACACAGACTTACCTCTAAATATCGAGAGCTACTTTAAATATTATACATAGCCAGAACAAAGATATAACTATTAAATATGTTCCAATAAATACATTACCACTATTCCTGTTTTAAAAAATTAGCAGACAACGAATGAGTGAGTGATTTACCCAGATAATTTGCCCTCTGTTTGAAGTTTCATTTCTTTGCCCAGCCACAGCAAGCTGAAGTGTTTCATAAAGTTGAGTAAGTGCCCC